CATACAGCCAGAAATGTTAAGACAAGCACATGTTGTGCTTCTCTTAGGATGCCGTGCCTGCATGTGACACATGGAGATGTCTGGTCAGCTGAATAAGCAAAAATCCAATGTTATTAGTAATAATTTTGAATCTTTAAGATGGAATTTCACAAAGGTTTCATGATAATTCCCAAGAAATGCCTATCACTGTAATTACTCTAGGACCTCCTTTCCTGGGCCCTGATGTTTTTGGGGAGCTCTATGGACCATGTTGATGTCAATGATTAGATATGGTTCTTTTTATGATTTGAAAATACTGCCCAATACTCATGCTATCCAATGATGTTTTGACAATGTGATTCTAAAAATCAACCTCTTTGGCTTCGTCATTACTTATTTTATAAAATGTTTTAATAAATATATACATCTTCCAATATTTTCCATGTTTCAAATTACTAAAGATGTTAGTTTAGAGTTATAGGAAAATTCCCACTATTTAAAAATTTTTCTATCTAAAACTATACTGAGTGACCTATGTTTTTCATTGTAAAAATAATTCCTGTTTGTGATATCTTTAAAGCATACAAACAAGTAGGAAGTATAAAGTATTAGTCCTTCTTTTTAGCCACCCCTTCTTCCCACTCAGAGAATTTCTTTCATAGATTTCTAGAAATTGATAAAGTGCACTTCAGATGCCCTTTTTATAGTGTTTGGCATAGCTATCCATATGTCAAGGATCCAAATGCCTGACTTGACATATTGATTTCAGATTTTGCCAACATTCCTTTTACCACGTACACGCAATGAAATCTATGTAGCTTTAAAAGAAAGAGGGAAACTAAAATGAAAATCATAATAGACTTAAAAGGCAACTAACCTTTTTCCACCTCATTCAGATTATCAGCTGGCAGCGACAAAGACAGAAGAGACAAAAGACTTTTTACATTGCAGTACAACAACGGAGCACATGAAGCCAATGCGCAGCAGTCACAACAGAGAAGCCAAGGGTGAGAGCAAACTGAAGCAAGCCTTAGATTTCTTACCTACAGCCGGGCCAGACGCACAAACATGGAGTAAATGAGGCAAAAGGTAAACGCCATCACAGGGAGCCAGAGGTCTGTGTCTAAACCAGTTCATTTACCCACCAGCAGCTCTACTTTTTAAGATGTGCACTTCATGGTTTGTGTGTGGGCGTTGGAAATTTGGAAAACAAAGGACTAAAGGTACAAAATGGAAAAACTAAAATGGTCTGGATATTTTTGACCAAATACATTCTAAGTCTTTACATGCCCAATTTGTATGGAAGCTTTCATTCACTGAATTTATATAACCCCATTAATACTACCGTGGTTTATCCTGTGATCAATTTTCTGTAATCTTTGTATATGGTCCCATGAGAACAGTGTTAGGAAACATCATCATGACAGAGTTGATCCAGGGTTCTGACTCTTGCAAAACTTGCAAAAACATATTTTTCGATTCAACACCTAAAGTTCATACCAGAACTTCAGAGTAGGTGTCAAGTTTGTCAACATTGCAGGGATGCAATATTTACAATTTTCACTTTTATAAGTTTTGAGCTTAATTTGAGGGATTCCTTGAAAATATAGCTCCAAGATATGTGCTGTTTTTAGGAAGGATATACTAATGATTAAAAACAAAAACAAAAATAATCTTGCAAGCTAAAATTAAAACCCTAGAGTGAATTTTTAAATTATTTGTGTAATAATTCCAGAGTCCTACTTCCTGAATCCTTAACATAGTAAGGTTAATTTAAAATCACAGTGAATTAAACTTTCCAAAAATTAATTTTATCTGAAAAATACTAGCAACCAACAGTCATATTATACAACCAGAAGGACAGATAATGGGTTGGGTTAGGTAGAAAAGAATAGTTTTGATAGCTCAGGTGGGGAAGGCATAGCAAGGATTAGATAATAAAAAACAATATTGACGCTTAAAATTTATGTTGTCAATCCCTGCAGCAGGAAAGAATAGCGAGTTTTCCCCTTTAATAAATCAATAACTTTTTACTGTGATGTTTTGGTCACAAGGGTTTAAATAAATTTAATTTCCCAATGGTGGTTCATTTTGTTTTGAGTATTTTTAGCTCTGTTTTATAGCCTGCCCATCACATCATGAGTTCTCTGTCGGACTGCTTTCAGATCTCTGAATTTTCTCTCTTAACATTATGTCCATTTCTGACTCTTGACATGGGTGCCAAATATAAAACCTTTCACCATAATAATTTACAACCTTTTCCCATGAAGTTTTATTTGTTCCTGCTAAACAGTTCCCTTTCTCATTGTTTGCCTTTGGCAGTATAGAGTAAAACATCTCCAAACAGAAAAGCAACTTATGACTTGAGTGATTTTTAAGCAATGACAACATGATTATATTCCCTGAGCACAGCAGGGGTTTCTTTTCTCAGGTCTCCTACTCATTAATCAGATTCCAATCTTAAATCTAAAACAATACAGCCACATTATAAAAAAAAAAAAATTCCTCCCTCACTACAGACTTGGATGAAGCATGATATGAAACTCTAGAGTCCAATTTATGCTTTCCTATAATTAAAGGCCACTTATGCGCCACTGATTTCAAAATCTGCAGATGGTTGCTTGATATTTTGTAAATGAGCTCATTTCACATATGAACAAAAATACTACAGCTAATGGATGGGTTACAAATGTGCATCGTATAGATATCTGCTCTGATGCCAAATTGTCAAGTTCTTTGTTGCCCACAAGACCAAGCCCAGTTACAGTGGTAATATCTTCATGTATTGTATGCTGTGAGCTTGCTACTGAGTTCAATGTTTTTGTTTCTCCTTTGCCCAAATTAAGGCAAACCGGTATTTGCAATAGCTATGACTAAAAACATGTCAGCCTCAGTTCTTGTTGAGAGCCAAATGACTCTGGACAGATAGTCATGGCAGATCCCTGCATGATGGCTTTTAGAGATGTCATATTTTGGTTAAAAAGTGTTTTTGCTAAGCCTCAGGGTTTTTTGATATGTTTCAAAGATCTGACAGAGGGAAATGAGGCTTCATGATACTTCTCAGAGGGAGGGGCATTGAACTGAATCACTTGGGATGGAGAAAATGTGTTCAAGAGGAGCAGGTATTAGAAGGAAGCTTGGAAAATGAAGGGAGAGAAGGTAAGACCCAAAAGAAATGGATTAGGAATAACATCTAGCAAATCTAAAGCCAAAGCAGGTGCACCCCTCCAAATCAACGGAGAAGAGTCTGCCACCTGATGTAAATTATCATAAAAAAGGTGTGTAAGAACTAAATACACAGTGCTTTCAAGCCTAGGGTTTCATCAGGGCATATACATAAATTCTTGGTTTCTGTGCTCAGGAGCTCATTGGCTAACCCAAGCGTGTTTGAAATGCTTGGGTCCAATTTGTCCAGGTCAGTGTGGGTGTAGGTTTAAAGAGGCTTCCAAAATTAAGTGAATAAGCCCTTTCAATAATGATTAGGACAATGATCGGAAAACAGAATTATTCCATCCTAAGAAGGTACTAGGTAACAGATTTTAGTGCAAACACTGGGTTCCTTGTACAAGTCTAACTTAGCTCAGCCAGTAAGTCTCAGGGTAGTTCCAAGGGCTCCAGGATCTGTGCGTTCAGGCCAGTGGCAAATGTCTGAGGTGTGACACAAGTAATATTAGTGTGAATGTGAAAGCTATGTAGCACTTACACTTCCCAACAGTTTTAGGATGGGTACCTATTGAATATACTTGCTCTCCTTTATTAATGCACAATATCAAGGAATTCAAACTAGCCACTAAGGGGCCAAAGGGCTGCATATATGTAATAGAACAATTATGATACAACATGTTCACATTTCTCCTAGAAACTCAATATATTACATTATATGCTTCACTGGTGTAAAAAAAAAAAAACATATCATGGAAAAGACAGGTTTGAAGGCACTCAAACAGATCTGGGATGTCAAAACAGAACACTTTTATTTTACCTAGAATTTTCCTACAAAGAAAAGTACTTATTAAAATGCAAAGTTTGAGTACTCCATAAAAGATTAAATTTCAATGCTATTCTGACAAATCCCTGGGAAAGTGAATCATACAGATGTGCTCTCATCTTTTCATGTTTAGAGATGTTAACCTCAGTCATCTACATAGTTATTTTACCCTCTGATATTCTTAACTATGTATTAAAATTGTAAGGAAATACATGGTTAAGGAAAAATACCCATGGAAATGAAAATGGTAATTTTGAACAGAGTGACAGAATCTACTTCCCCACCTTTTCTTACAAATAAAATGTGTAACATTCTCCTTTTCTCTATCAACTGTAAGATGAAGTGGTTTATTACAGAAACAAGATTGTAACTATTCTGCTTCTTATTCATAGCCCCCAAAATCAATCAAAACAGATATTCTGACATAACAGGTAGGTCTAAACTTGACATGGCCTTTACAGCAAATTGGTTTGTGCAGGGAAGTTTACCAGCTCAGAAAGACTTAGGAAATTTGTTACCCCCAGATACAAAATGTCAGAAAAAAAGGTGATAATTATATGATTATCCAAAGTGCTTAGTATCCTCCCAATTACATTTTATTTTGAAGGACATGAGTTATTAGAGGAAAACACTCACTAGTGAAGAAACACATATGGACACAAGTAATCTCAAATGCTTAGTTATGTTTTGACTATGTGAAAAATATGCCCCTCTTTTCACCTGTGTATTGGTGGGTTGGTTTGCACAGGACAAATTCTTTGCATGAAAAATGTTATGCAACCCTGCGATGAAAAGCTTCAGAATGATAACTTCTTTTTCAGCTGGATAGCATGACTTTATGTAGATGCCTGCTTGGTCTTTCATTTGGTTGGCTGAAACCCTCTTAACTCTGTTATTCACATTACATCTAATTTTCAAAACACCTACCAGTTATTGAATAATACAATGGCTTACTACACATATACAACACATTGCCAGTGATGCTTTTGAACAGATAGACTATTGATGGCACAGAATTTCCTACTCTTCCTACCTGTGTACTCAGGTGGACAAAGGCACGTGTAGTTATTAATTCCATCCACACATGTAGAGTTATTTTCACAGTCATTATCTTCACAGTCGTCAACATTGACTTCACAATTTTCTCCTTCAAATCCATCAGCACAAATACACCTGAACACCAGGGGGAGAAAAGGCAAAAAAAAAAAAAAAAACACCCCATGTTCATGTTGCATTTTAAAGCCATATGGTCCAAAAATTGAAAAAAGCTAAACACACTCATCAACTACAGAGGTTTTAACTGTAAGAAACTGAACTTTAAAATGCTTTTAAATGACAGGGGCGCCTGGGTGGCTCAGTTGGTTGAGCGACTGCCTTCGGCTCGGGTCATGGTCCTGGAGTCCCGGGATCGAGTCCCGCATTGGGCTCCCTGCTCAGCGGGGAGTCTGCTTCTCCCTCTCCCGCTCCCCCCTCTTGTGCTCTCTCACTCTCTCTCTCTCAAATAAATAAATAAAATCTTTTAAAAAAATGCTTTTAAATGACATGTAGTAAGCATGAATTTAAGGTAGTATCCCCTAAATCAGAAACAATTTGAAAAAGAAAATTTATGCTAGCTGCAAGAGGGCAAATGGCTCCATGGTCTTGTAAGTCAATAAATCCAATGTATTGGCAGGTCTAAAACACAAGCAAAGCTTACAGCTCTAGGTATCTTAATCTCAACTTGTGCTCTAATAAAATGATTCATACTTCTCTGCTCATAAATAAAGAGGAACTGGTTCTGACTTTAAAAATTGCAATACCTCCTACCCTAACTATACTGTCTTCCATGTCTCAAAACAAAAAAGAAATATGAAAATAAAATTACATCTTCCTTGTCATTATAAAATGTAAATGTTCTCGTTAAGTCTCAATAGATACAATTTTTCCATGACAATAACACATTGTACACTTGACCTTGATAGGTATCAGAATAATCTTTGAGGAGTCTTACTGAAAAAGAGACCATTTCATAACAGAATGCAGAAATGAAGAATACTTATTATAAAAAGTGGTATTTCCAACAAGCTTTGTAGCAGATTAACATTCTTATGTGAAATTATCACCGTCGTTATAAGAACTCTGTTTCATAATTCATGAAGTACATCTGAAGTAATTGTACCATATGATTAAATAACTCCAGATTAAAAATGTTCACAGCATGTTTATCTACTCATTTTGTGGCCTGGAAATAAATCATGAATTTTCTGTTTCAGTGGGACCTACATCTTATCATTACAAACTGTCTGTTAAAGCAATACACAAAGCAACAGATGAATATATGACTTGAAGAGGAGACTATTGGCTATTAATTAGCATAACAGAGCTACTACTTTGTCTTGACCTAATCTGAGTGTATGAATCATAATGCACGCACGTATGTTTTAAAAACTTCTTGATTTTATAGCATCCTGAGCTGAGAATACTGTAATGTCTTGTTTTTCATATTACAGTATCTCTGAGAAGGACTAATACATATTGTCCTTATGAATAAATTTCTGGCTTCTTTTAAGAGTAACACCTTTTGATTTGAAAAGGAACACGGATCTTTACTTAGTTATTCTTGCCCTAATGCTTCAGACAGAATATTATAGACTAATGACCTACCAGAATCCATCTTTTTCTCCTTCCTTTAAGTGGCAAGTTCCTCCATGTTGACATGGGTTACTGATGCATGCATGAATCGGGACATCACAGTCCTGCCCCTAGAGAAGGAATGGCCAAGTAAAGTTGAGTGTAAATAAAGGAGATCTCAGTACAGAGAGAAAACACAACAGAATAATGAGGACCCACCAAAGAAAGCTATGTTTTCAGATCAGGGCTCCCTCAAAAGCTCCTACTGACCTTGAAACCATAGGGACAGGTACAGCGATAAAAGTCAACTGGATCATTGTTACAGGTGCCATCGTTTTTACATGGGTTTGATAAGCACGGATTACATTTAGCTAGAATACTGACATCCACGGGACCTGAAAATTAATTAAAACGTATAAGAAATTGATGCTTTGTACTTTTCGTTCACTTAAATTATTTAAATGCCTTAATGTAACAGTAGATTTTGTATAAAAAATATTGGTCACCTATCTATATGTGTATCTCTTCCATGAATAGAACAGAAATCAGCATCATCGTATAATGTTCAAGAATGCAACAGGAGACCATCTCATTGAGAGGCATGGTGAGAGTGCCCAATGTCAGAATGGGACTATGGGCTGTGAACTTAAGTGGTTAGGATCTGATGTTAGTGATGCCAGTGTCCCAGGGTCAATCCCCCCATGGCCAACTAGCCTGTGTGGATGCATTCCATGGCCATTGTCACCATCTTAACTTCAGCCAGCTGTCATGGAAATGCATACCTTTGATCCCAAAGAGGACTTTGTGTGTGTGCATGTGTGTGGGGGGTGGGGGGTTGGGGGATGTGTGGGCAAGTTTAATGCATAAATAGAAACAGTCAGTGCAATTAAAAATACAGTAATATGCACCTGCCCGGCTATCATTAGTCCAGTAGTGTTACTTTCATACAGGAGATAGAAAACAGTGCCACTTTTATGCACCTGGAAATAAGCCAAAAAGGTAATTTCCATTATATTCGCCCTCATAGCCTTTTGGTTCAGTATGTTAACACATTAGCACAGGCCTGTAGTGGGTGAGATTTCTGTTTCTTCCCCTCCAAGAAGAAAATACTGTCGAAATAATCTTCACTTGTAATCTCACCACTTGGGATACACACTTTAAAAATCTCCTGCCCAGGCGCCTGGGTGGCTCAGTTGGTTAAGCGACTGCCTTCAGCTCAGGTCATGATCCTGGAGTCCCAGGATCGAGTCCCGCATCGGGCTCCCTGCTCGGCAGGGAGTCTGCTTCTCCCTCTGACCCTCCTCCCTCTCATGCTCTCGGTCTCTCATTCTCTCTCTTGCAAATAAATAAAATCTTAAAAAAAATAAAAAATAAAATAAAAACCTCCTGACCCATGAAAGGTTTAGATTAAAGGCAGATTCATTTGCAGCCATTTTCCTTTGGTTGCACATATTCATTCCATAAATGGTTAACAATGTGGAAACTGTACTGTCTTTGATAAAATTATGTTCCACTGAGGCTACTTATGGCCATATTTCTGAGAGCTAATTAGACTGCCTCTTGGCAACCAATGAGGACAGTATCAGGGTGACATATTAATATATATAAAATACACATATTTTATAACATAAATATATTCATTATATTTCTGTCATCAGCAATACTTCTGTAGTTCTTTATCCTCACTGGAACAAGCAGCGATAATCCCAGCTGTATAGTTCATCCCATGCAACTTCCAGCAAAGCTATCTGAGTTGACTGTTCAGAATGCCCCTCTTCCCACTATCGCTGATCTAACTTTCTAAGGTAGCTCCACCCCACAATTGTAGGATTTCTGCTCATATAAACTATCGTTCATCAGATTTTTCTACAGATTAGAGTTTATGTTTGTGAGTTACTGGTGTACTCACAGAAATAGAAAGAAAATGTGAATTATCATGGTAGGCATAAGAACTCTTCATATCTGTGTATTCCTTTACCCCTGAAAAATACCAGTCCACATTGATTTAATGGTTATGGAGTGAAATCCAAAAGAGGATACTGTTCTGTGTTGGTCAGTTTTTCTATTAACAAAACCCCTGAAATCTTTCTACAAAGAGATTCCTGTTTCTTTTTTTGTTTTGTTTTTATTTTTTGTTTTTAAAGATTTTATTTATTTGACAGAGAGAGAGAGGGAACACAAGGAGGGGGAGTGGGAGAGGGAGAAGCAGGCACCCCACGGAGCAGGGAGCCAATGCGGGGCTCAATCCCAGGACCCTGGGATCATGACCCCAGCCGAAGGCAGACGCTTAACGACTGAGCCACCCAGGCACCCTTCCTGTTTCTTTTTTAACCATCTGGAAGTGGATGACAGTCCTGGGGATGACTGCATTAATGGAGAGGGGTGTTATTTACTTCTAGTGACACCTCAGTCACTAGAGAGGCCTTGCCAGTGTCCCCTTCATTTTTTCTGGGTGACCAGAGTAACTAATGGATCAATACCAAAGTGATGCTCAGAGACATGTAATTTCTCACCCCTGCCCCAACGTGTTTATCAAGTAAATTTAGCTATTTCAGCACATTGGAGACATAAATAGTGGCAGTTAGTTAAAGCAGTAAGTTAAATTAAGATAATACCACACCATAAATAGCCTTGTGTCTGCTAACTTTATCATGCTTGGAATCAGCAATAGAAAAGCAAGTAGTGGGTACCTCAGCTCGGGTAGAAGAGAGAAGAATCTAACTTGGAAAAAAGGCGTAAGGGGAAACAGCTAAGAATGTACACAAGCAAAATAGAACATTTGCTCGCATAGCAAATACGAGGACTGTAAACACTCATCTGGCCACTTCCCAAGACCTTGAGGAAAATTGTCTCTTGGTCTATTTCTGTGCTTTCAACCTTGTAAAACTGCCGTTTGAATAGAGGAGTTCAGGGTTGGCAGTTTCTATGTTTATTCTCTGGAATGTGACATTTTTCAAAAATTATGTTTGACTGTTTAGATGAGAAGCCAGAGATTGTTTCAAGAAAACCAATTAAATACATTTTGAAGAATGTAAGAGAGTATGCCGATAACAAAATTGCCAGACTGAAGTAATCCAGTTTAGCACAGAGCCAAAATTTATTTAATAAATATCCACTGAACTATACCTAATATATTAACCAATAAGCACTAACTTCTGCACTTTTTTCCAGGACCAAATTTGGTTTCCTATATAATTAATCCTGCTCAACTGTTTTCATTACCTGAAATTTCTTATGGGCAAACCACATGAGATCATTGCTCCCTCATATACAGTCAGTTTATCTAAAGGAATCAAAATAACAACCTTTCCCACATGCACAGGCTTTTCTTGATCTATTTCTTAAACCTGCCAACTGTTTTGGTGGCATCAGAATTAGGATTGTCATTCTAAAATACTGAGTTCTAACTTCTTCGGGTTTGTAAAGTTGACTACCACAGCTACCCTTCTACTCACTTTTTCTTTTACAAACCCTTCTTTTAAAGTCAATGCTTCATAAATGCTTTCTTATTTCTAGCTCCTGAGGTTGAATGAAGGGTAATTCAAAAGATGTTTGTGAGTTATCAATTCCAAATAGTCTCTAATATCCCCAAATACCTTAAAAATTATATAATTCTTATTTATTTTATTTTTATTGCTTATTTTATTTTCTTATTTAGATTATGATTCCACCTAACTAAACATCCTTCCTATAATGTGATTTTAACATCCACTTGGTTTATCTAAATCTACTCATTTCTATATTCTAAGCCCTCAGAATTATATCCCTTGTATCTGGCTCTCTCCTCTCATTCATCTTCCTACCAATATATTGTTCCTCTTCTAAGTCTACCTTCTATTTTCTCTTTGCCTTCAATTTGTGATTTATTTTCGACCCAGGACACTTTCTCTGAGATCCTTTCCTGCAAAGTTCTTATTCAAGGGGAACGACATCTTTAAGCCATTTCTATAACGAGGAGATGGTATCAGAGCTAAAGAGTGATGCTAAAGTCATAACAAAATGGTAAAAGAGCATAGCTCTTTAGGAAAAAAAAACAACACAGGTACAATTTTGCACACTTGACTATTCCCAGATGAAAGATGTTCAGGAATAGGAATTAGACAAGTCTTTTATCATAATGCAAGTAATCTTGGACAGAGAATCCGAGGTCCATCAAACTAAGTTAGTAATCTAGATTTGTTAGTGTGTGGAGTTAGAGCAATGGTAGCCATCTCAATGGGTTGCTTTAAGCATTAAAGGAAATGTTCATGAGTTTTGAGTGCAGAATACAGTGAGAGCAAGCACAGAAGCCACAGCAAGTTCTGACAGTCTTCCCTAGACTTCCAAAGAAGGTAGGTAGCTGAGGAGAACATGAGTGGTTCACTTAGAAGGAGAAAGGAAGTCTTCCTCTGCTTGTTTGCTCCAATTTTAGCATAGACAAAGGCAAACTAGAGCTTGCTATTCATTCATTCATTCATTCATTCATTCATTCATTCATTCATTCATTCTAGGTTTCACTGAGTACCTTCTGTCCATGCCAGGAGATGCTGAAATTTGGGAAAACTGCAGGGACTATTATTATCAGAATCATGGGGGAATGGCTGGGAGCACTGAGAGATAATTATCCATTGGGCAACAACACCAAGAATGAATGATCTTATGGGTTTAAGGACTGCAACTGTGATTTGTAAATCTGGCATGGACAGCCATCAGAAACATTACAACATTATGAAGGAGAGTTTTTGTTCTTAACACTGCTGCTTGGCAAGAAACTACAGCTTGCTTGCTGAAACAACCTCACCAATCTTCAATCTTTCCACTTGCCCAAAGTTAACTAGTCTCAAGAAATTTTAAATTGTTGCCAACCCATTAGCCCTTGTAAGATGTGTGCCGCAGAGGAGAAAAAAATCTAGCTTCAGGAATACAGATGTTTACTAATGTCACTGAAATGAAGGAGGGCAGTCTAGGATAACTAGGTTGATGTAAGACTTGGTCTTAAAGAGCCCTCTTGCATCAGCTGTATGGATTGGAAGTGTGTTTAGCTTAATAATTCAAAGGGAAAATGAGCCAAAAGTTTGGTTAACAATTTGTCTTTGCCAGTTACTCTAATCTTTAACAAACTGCTGGACCTCAAATCTATTAAAGCTTGTAGGCAGACTTGCTTACTTGACTGAAATCACTAGCTATACACCTGACACCAATATTACCACCCACTGAGAATTGCATCACTTTGATTTATTACTAAAAGCTCCAGACACAAATTTCTAACTATATCCCAGAGTCTGCCTTCATTCTGGTATCCCTTGGAAACATAAGTCAAATAAGAGAATCCTCTAGCACTGCCCTTGTGTAAGGTCAAAGGTACATCAAAGACAGCTCAGGAAAAATATAGGGGGTATTTGATGTTGGGCATAAT